GATTGGTCCAGGGTAAAGCCACGACACAAACTGTGCTAATGATGTAAGTGTGGACAGTCATGGGTTGGTGGTAGAATCCATCCCTTGTCCCAGTTTACTTTGCTAGAGTAGCAATTGCCTTGCAGTACTGTAGTTGGTTCCATGTAGATGTAGTACAGTGAAAGGGTTTTTTCCCATAATGTTTTAATTTTTACCATGGATTTACTTATTCTGGGCAATCTGTGTCATTGCAGTGCTATGGAAGTGTTTGTAGAGACCCTTTTTCCCCAGAAGCAAAGTGCTATTCAAGAGAATCTGTGTTGGAGGACAAGTCAGATGTTACGGGCCTGTCTGTACGCTGCAGCTGAGTGTGGTGCAAAGATCACTGATGTAGATCTAAGCAAGCTGGGCTGTCCACATGAGGCTATACAGTGCCAGAGATACTTGCTTAGAGTCTGAATGCAGGCATGGCATTTTTGTTGATAAAATGTCTCTAAAACCATGAGTGACATAACGGAAATAGGGAATGATTCATGTGCACTGTGTTCCACTGCATGCTAGGGTTGTGGCCTGGTACCCCAACACAATGTCCTTTTAGAAGTGAAAGATATTTGGATTGTCCTCCTGAATGGATCTCACATAGACTCTAAAATGAGTTTCCCTCTGTGTCTCATCTGAAAGAAACCATGGAAAAATAAGCTTTGAAAGGGTGTAGAGTAGGTTTTTCCCAGACTACACTCTGGCAAACAGGAAAATAGTATTCTTTCTTTCTAGAATTACATGTAGAAGCATGTGGTCTTTGAGAATTTTCCACCTGAGAATGGACAAAATCTGGAAAGATCAAGGGCAGTGAAGACTTTAACAGAGTACTCATTTGGCGTGCGAGCCCTTACAGTCTGACCCTTTGCCTCCCTTGCCTGCAAGTTCTGCTTGATATATGTAGCCCAGCCATTCTGTAATCAGGAGGAGACAGCTTTTGTAGTGCATTGGTGCTCTGCAGTCCAGAATTGGAGTAACAATCTGAGACAGGGAATTTCTTCATGCCAAACCATTCTTGGTGGCAGCCCAGATGAGCTCTGTCTTGAAAGCCTAAGCAGCTGGGTGTTATTATGAGAGTGCTAATGACATCACTTCCAATCAAGGTGAAAGTTATTTAGATTGTCCTTGATCAATCAGATTATGTCTCATTAAATATCAGAGAAATCTGCCTGCTGTGGTCCCATTACTGTATTGTGGGAGTTCAGCAAACCGGTTAGTATAGTGAAGTAGTATAGGTAGTACTTACCTAGGTGTGGTGCAATGTAAAGCTTCATCTGTACCTTTCTCATTGTTATCTCAGCCACATGGCTTGTTAGGGGATGCATTTGCTATACCTAATTTTAAGGTCTTCTCATCTTTCTTCTTCCCCATAGAAGTGTGAGAAATACCAATGTCATGCTTAACCTTTCTACTTCTCTCTGAGCCTTGTGTTTCTTCTGTGAACCATGTGTTTCTTATGGTTCACATAGTGTCATCTCTTTATATTCTGGTAAAGGGCAGAAACATTCATGTAGAGGAAGCTAGGCTGAATTTTGCTAGCTGAAATCTGCTACCAAGTGGCTTCTGCTTCTGCCTTTACTTCGCACAAGTAAAGCCCAGCTACTTGGAGACTGACCCTGGCATTAATGATCCTCTGTGCCCTTCTTCCTCTGGCAATGACTGACATCCTCATGTTTCCCAGAGGCAGTCTTTGATGTTGAGAAGACAGTGGTTCATTTTAAATTTGAGGTTTACTGAATTTCAGAGAACGTGGAGTGCTAGAGTTTGCTTTTCATGCATTGTTCTGTATTGCTGGATAGATTCTGTAATGCTAAAGTAATGGAGAGTTAAGTCTTTGTCTAGTGTATTTTGAAACCCATCATTCCAGTGTTGGAGGAAATGGCTAAGGTGCCTATTCCTTAAAACCATATTGTACTGGAGAAATACATGACTCTGTTCCCCTATACATGAATCTATTTGCAAAGTTTTATTCCAGCTTCATTAATAAAATCCTTCCTTTCCCCCAGCTTCATGGTGAAAATATGGTAAAATACATTTTTGTATTTTTCAATCTGATATTGTGAAAAGTGAGTATGACATGGGACAGAATAGAAATCAGAACTTCTGGATATTCTATCTACCCCTGTGAGTTATAGCCTGCTGGTGCCTGTGCTTTCCTGTCTGTAAAGCAGGGAATTGTTGCTGTCTTGTGGGAGAGCTGTGACTCCCAAGTTAATTATGAAGTCTGTGGCAAATTTTAGAAATGCAGTTGTGAGATAATGTTTAAGCATTAATGTTTTATAATCTCCCTAAACTGCCTCTGTGGATATATTTAGTGGGAGGGATATAGCAATATAGAGAGGAATCTTTTTTCACCCCAGCCATTTTCTTTAGAACCCAAAGTGAAAGTTATTTCCACCAACTGCCATCCCTGCAACCATCTGGAAAATCACATTTTCTGAAGCTTTCCTTCTCTTTATCAGCTGTAACTAAAGCTATAAAATGGGAAGATGTCCCTGGTTTAATTAACACCCCTGTAGTTCAAAAGCTGATCTTAGTAATGAGAGGCAATTATAGCTTTTATTGAGGGACAGTCAGGTGGAACAAACCCTGCATCAATCTATTCAAGGCATTTCACTTTCCAGGTAATTTGGAAACTGCTTTTTATGATAAACAGGCTACCTAGCCCGATGCAACAGGTGAATCCCTTTGTTTTGTAACCTAAAAAGAACTTTCTATATTCAGTTATGTTCTGATTTTGTGCTTTTTACAAAGAATAATAGATCATAGAATAGTTGGGGTTGGAAAGGACCTTAAGATCAGCCTGTTCAAACCCCCTGCCATGGGCAGGGATGCCTCACACTAGACCATGTCGCCATCCATCTGCTAACAACTAGCAACTGAGCTGAAGAAATGCCTGCTGCTTCTTTGAGGGCATTATTGCTCATTTTCTCATTTTATTTTCCTTATTCACTGTTGCTTTCCATTTTGAAGATCGAATGGTGTTCATATTTTTGTACTAACAGAACTGCAGACTTCATGCTGTACTCACATCCTGAGGGCTGTGCAGGGTTCTGGTTTCTGCACCTCAAAAATGATTCAATACAGCTAAAGGAGGTCCAGAGAAGGACATTGAAACGACCAAGGGAATTCTGCCTTACGAGCTAAAAAGCCTGTGGCTCCAGTTCAGAAAGTAGAAAACTGAGAGCAGAGATACAGCTGAGTTTAGCTGAAGGCAGATGTAGAACTCTGATACTAAGGCTAAAAAGCACTAGCTGAAACAAGGACATTGCTCTACATGATGAAGTACCTTTTAATGCAGCAGGTAGTGAATTTCTGTAATCTGTTGCCACAGGAGACTGAGGAGGTGGGCAGTGTCAGAAGTTTCATAGAAAGGGTTAGATAAACTCAGAGCAGCAGATTCATGACATGAGTCTAAAGGTGAGGGGTAGGACTGAGGCAGTATGAAGGGAATGATCCTGTCTCAGTAGTATCTAAGGTGCTGTCTGACCTCCAGCATCTGATCTGTAAGAGTGTGGGTCTGCTGTATGCCCTGTGTTTCATCTGGATATCCTGATATCTCAGATGTCTCAAATGCTAGTAGATGCTGCTAATTTAAACCCTTTGTGTCCACAATGCAGACACCTACATTGCACTGAAGTGGAGCTCTACTCATGATTAAGATGCCTGCATTTGGCTGTTTGCATATGGCTGTCTACTTGTGTAGTAGGTGTCTAAATTCTTCTGCAGTTAACAGATGTTTAGCCACTCTAATGGGGACCTGATGAATATGGTCAATGGAACAGTCTGCAGTGTCATTTCATCTTGCCATAAGATAAGACTTGGGATGGTCAGTTAAATAACTCACTCCTACCTGTTTTCATTAAATCTTTGTCAACTGTAATGGGAGCTTGGACACCTAGCACTCACGTAGATGCAAAAATTTAGATGTATTAATCCTGCACTGAGTTCTGTCCCAGGATTTCTGTTATAATGACTGTAGAGAAATAGGTGTCTCCTGAGAACAACTCATTGACCTAGGTATAGATGAGGGGATCTGCAGCTATTGCATGTTCAAGAAGTGCATGTTGCTATTCATTAACTTCAAGGAGAGTCTGGATAGTGGTACCTACATTGTCAATGTACACCATGGCCAGGTGCGTCCCAGCTATCCCATTTTGGAGACTTTGGTACTGTCACTTAGATTCTCAGATGTAAGAAATGTAGAGTTTTAAAGCAGTGTGATATGAAAAAGTGAACTTAGAATTTCAAAACAGCCCCCACCCTCTTTATCGTTCTATTTAGAATAAAGGGTTAGCTGTTATTTTACCTCCTGTAAACTATGCTGTCCTGGATTAGATGAAATTACCTTTGCCACGTTAGCTGTAAAAGCTGTGAAATTACAAAACAAGCTTGTAAGTTGTTTATTCTTCAGTAATTAAAGAGGGCAGGCATCGAATCTTACAGTGTTGCAGAAGAGGGTGGCTTTCATAGGGTGTCTAGCAGAAAGGTTTTTTTCAGCCTGGAAGAGTCTGAGAAGGAATTTCTTTCATTGGTGGGTCTGTTAATATTGTTAATTCCATGCTGCCATAAGTGTACTCTGGGTTTGGGATAGGGCAACACCAGCTCCTCTCAGAAAACACTGTGGAAGTGTCTACTTATTTCCAAAGTTTCCACTTTCGTATGTGTTAAAGGATGGACATGTCATTTCTTTAGTGAATGAATTCAATAGAGTCTTGTTTAGGAGACTGCTCAGTTACTTGAAGTAGGACGGCTTGTCCATCCTTTCATCCTTTCCACTCCTGTGTGTACAGCAGTTCTCTGTGTCTTACTTGCTTTGGATACAGGACACAGACAAGGAGATAGAAAGGTTGTGTGACTGCAGTGTTGCTGTAGCTTTGGATCTGGCTGTGGCATCAGACTCTGCAATTCACGTGGCTGGCACAAAGGGGGACTTGTGGCCATGATCTGCCTTGCTGACTGTCTTATCTTTTCATTCCCAGGTTATGGACACGCTGCCCCAGGGACAGATGCGGGGAAGGCCTTTTGCATGTTCTACGCAGTCCTGGGGATCCCACTGACACTCGTCATGTTCCAGAGCTTGGGAGAGCGCATGAACACCTTTGTCAAGTACCTCTTGAAACGCATCAAAAAGTGCTGTGGGATGAGGAGCACTGAGGTCTCCATGGAGAACATGGTCACTGTGGGTTTCTTCTCCTGCATGGGAACACTCTGCATTGGAGCAGCAGCTTTTTCCCAGTATGAGGAGTGGAGCTTTTTCCATGCTTACTATTACTGCTTTATAACATTGACTACGATAGGTTTTGGAGACTATGTGGCCCTGCAGACCAAAGGGGCCCTTCAAAAGAAGCCTCTCTATGTGGCTTTTAGCTTTATGTACATTCTAGTGGGGTTGACAGTCATTGGGGCATTTCTAAATCTGGTTGTTCTCAGGTTCTTGACCATGAACAGCGAGGACGAGAGGCGGGATGCTGAGGAACGGGCGTCCCTGGCAGGGAACCGCAACAGCATGATTATCCACATCCAAGAGGACTCCCAGCATGGTCGGCCACGGTACAAGGCCGAAGTAACAGACCTTCAGTCAGTTTGTTCCTGCATGTGTTACAGGTCTCATGAGTACACCAGCCGGGTGGTGTCCCACCAAAATTCATTCAGCTCAAAGCTGAACCCCCAGTACTTTCACTCCATCTCTTACAAGATAGAGGAGATCTCGCCAAGCACATTAAAAAACAGCCTTTTCCCATCTCCTGTTAGCTCCATCTCACCTGGGTTGCACAGCTTTACAGATAACCACAGGCTGATGAAAAGGCGAAAGTCCATTTAAAGGGATTTGTCTTCTTTTGCTTTTCTTGTTTCCCCCCAGTTCTCCTCCATTGTTTTGGGATTTTTTGTTCCTTGAGTGAGACGGAGTGAGGCCGAAGGGAGTAGAGAAAGCCAGTCCTCCTCTGAGACTCAGCTCTTGAGCATGAAGCATGGATTATTACCGTTCCAGCAAAGTATGCCTTACATTACCCCCTCGGTGGATGTCAGAGGATTCAAGGTGACATGAAGTGGGTACCAAATCCAAAGTTGCACACACAGCTGGGAGCCTTCATGTGCCATTGGCACTCTTGACCTAATAAACTCTTTTCCTCACGAGCAGTTTGTGTGCTTGCGTGCGTGTTGGGTGTGCGTGCGTGTGCGTGGAATTCCACGACTAGTGCCATGCGACAAAAATCAAAGCATCAGGTATTATTTTGGGTTATTTTTTCCCTTGAAGCAGTTGTGTTCCAGTCTGCTTTTAACTTTTAGATTGCTTCCAAAAGGAATGGGGAGGGTGGGAGGGGATCAAATTTGGTTCATTGCTTTTTTGCCAAGACAAGCATGCGCCATAAAAAGTCAATATACCAGGTGTATCATGGTAAATTTTTTAATGCTAGATTTTAGATTGTATTAACATTAATTAAAAAAAAAAGGCAGGAAAAGATGGATCATTTTAGCTTGCCAGTTCAAAATAAAAAAAAAAAATAAAATAAAGCATGCACTTTGTAAAACTGGTATGCATAATAAAAACACAAGAAAAACTAGCAACGGAATTAATAATCAAAAGTAAATAATCCTATTGATTTAACTAGATTTCCTTTTATCATTTTCAACCGTTTCAACAATTTTTGAGAGAAATTGGGAGAATTGTTGGAACCAAAGAGTGTATTTTGTTATTTTTATTTTATTTATAAATTTATTATTATTATTATTATTATTATTATTATTGGGTTTTTTTGTGCAGCAATTACCTGCATGAATAGGATTTTTTTTTTTCTGAATGCTTGGTTTAGGATGGGTATAAATAGGTGGATGTATATTTTTTCTTATATAATAGTGACAGGGCATTTCCTTCTTTTAAATAAAAAAATAAAGATGATTGTCTCTAAATGCTTTTGATTTGTAAATAATGGAAAGCCTTTGTTGGTCTCAGGAAGAATTCAAGGGACAGTATCTTGTGTTTGGCTCACTGGGAACTTGTGAGATAAGATGTGATACTGGTTTTTTGCTAGGTGGAAAGGCAAAATGCATTTAGCAGTGATGGACAAAAACAGTTTTACTCCAGTGTTTGGAGGGTAATGTGGGGAGTGATTGCATTGGCAAATTGTAGTGAAGGATGTTGAGACCATGTCACAGAGTTGTTCCTTGGAGATTGTCCGTCTCTCAGCTGTTCATCTGGACCAAACAGACTTTACAGGACTGAATTAGAGGCCTAATCCAGCTCCCTTTTAAGATAATAGGAATTTGCAATGATTACATGGGATTTAGTGCTCTGGGAGATTTATCTCTGATTTGACAGGGGTAGGACTGGGAGTTTTATAAACCTCCACCTTTGTCTCTGATTTAATCCTATCTTTTAAACTGCCTTTCGTGTTAATTCGCCATACAAAACCCATCCTTTTTTGGCACTAATCACCTCCTGATGATTCTACCATTTTGTGCTCTCAGTGTAAAAGGAATAATCCCTTTTTTTTCCTATTAAAAGTAGATGGTATGTTTCTGTACAAGCCCCAGCTCTGAGCTCTGTGTGCTGATGGATGCTGATACCCTTTCAAAGAGGCTTCTATAAAGAGAATTAATAGGGAGAAATAGGAAATTTCAATTCCTTCTCTGTTCTCTTCTCCCTGGCTTTAAATTATTTGGTATATCAAATATGTTCATGTTCTAATTTCCCACTCCGTGCTTCAACAAGTAGATGAAAAGCATGTATCCATATCTTTGGCTCCCCTACGCAGCTTCCTTTGGGATTATAGAATCCTGTGGTATGAAAATCTCCATTAAGATTAATGAAGAAATAGCTTAGGATTCTTAATGAGGATGGATGAGGATTGACTTCTTTCAGCCTAACGTGATGGATAACATCCCTGAATACAGTAGGAGAACATGCTGGATGAATTAATGCTCTGCTGCTGGCACCATGTTCTAAAGCTGATGGCAGAAGTATTGAAGCAAGCGTACTTAGAAAAGCAGCTTTGGGATGTGTTAAACAATCTCAGTTATTGCAACCTAGAAGCTTGTTTCTTTCAAGAGTGGCCCATGGGGTTCACAGTGCTGTCCAAATTCACTACCGCAGTCTTTGCTTGTGGCATTCCAGAAGCGCAAATCAATGTAGGTTTCTATTCCTGCTAAGGAGATAAGAAAAAGTATGCCTGGAATATGCACATCAATGTCATGTACACCTGCTGGGTGTATCTGACACTGAAGAAAAGCAGGAAAACTTTGGGGTTTTGCAGAACTCGAGTGAAATTCTGTCTGCCTTGCAAAGAAGAACTTGTGTAACGGGACTTTTAGCAAAGTTTAAACAGTTTTGTGGGGAAAAAACCCATCCAAACAAACCCAAACCAACAATTTTATCTTACAAAACATTGGTCAGCTTTTTCCTTTTGTCCTGTAAGTGGAAAATTCTGCTGCATATAAAAATCATCTTTAAATGTCCTAGAGATCATCTTGAACTCCAGACATTCAAAACTGTTACATATTCTAGCTGATTTTCTACTACAATCTTCCCTCTGGAACCATAAATGACGAGTAAATTTTAATGCATGGGGTGTATAAGTAGGGAAGAAACTTACCGTGGCATGTCATGGTTCATCTTCTACTTGCAGTCTTTGCATTAAAACTCAATGGCTTTGTAAAAGTTCTGCTTTAGCTTAGTTGAAGTTTATAGATGTTGTTGAAGAAATCCATGTATGTTGTTAGGAAGGAACCAGAGTAGATATCTGTATGAGTGTGTATGTGGGACAGTGTTTTGCTAAGATTTATCTGCATTCCTTAGGATTTTAAAATATGTTTCTTTTTATTTTCTGCTTGAAGAACCCACAATTCTGTCCAATCTGTATTTTGTTACACATGACATTTTAAAGTGGGAAGACATTTCCTTTGCAACACTGCACACATTTGGACATTTGCATGAGCTCTTGCAGGACTTTGCTTTGTGCAGCCGTAAAGAAATCTCATGTGTACACACCAGTATGCCAGGCAAAATATGCTTCTTTTATCTTTTTGTGGTTCTTGGCTGATATGTGAATAATGACTTGGGCTGTCTGGAACTGGAACAGACAGTGAAAGGGAAGCCTTTGTCCAAGGTTAATTCCAGTTATTCAGTTGCACATGAAAAATCAGTCAGTGAAAGGTGAGCTGATTTTTATCTGCTCTATCTCTGACTTCTTATTGCCCTACCGCTACAGTCCCTGATGAAGAGTCCCTCTGCAGCATCCTTGTAGGCCTCCTTCAGATACTGAAAACTGCTCTGAGATCTCCACGTAGCTTCTCTTCTCCAGAAAGCTGGAGAAGCCCCAGCTTTCTCAGCCTGTCTTCATATGGACACCAGTTTTCTTCCCACAACAGTGCTTTCCAGAGAACATTCTCTGGTACACCATAAGTTTTATTCCACATAAGACATTAAGTCTTTCACAACAACCTCTCTTGTTCTCTATTCGCTGTTTTGAAATTCAGCTAAAGCAGGTAGTAGTGGTGCTGCTTATGACAAGACATCCTAATGCCTGCTATCACTTTGTTATGCACTCTCATTCCCCAGAGTCTCATTTCCCCTACCCTTCCCTATTATTAAGCATTAGAAATAATAATAATAAATCAGATTAATCTATTTATGTCACACTAATGTGCTCTTCATCAAAACAACACAAATTTAGCTCCCTGCTGTCGACTTTGATTATATAACAACGCTATTATCCTATCATATTTCATATTATCATCAAAGGCAAAAATCAGTTTGATCAGTGAAGCACCAAAATAGCTTTGACTGAGCATGCTGTGATATGGAAACGAAAGAGGAAACTTAATACAACAATGCAGGCACAAGTCTCTGCTTGGTCTTTGTTACTGTGTAAGGAAGATCCTGACTGATCTGACTGGGGCTGCTTTGCCAAAAATTTGTACATACATCTGCTCTACAGGGATGACTGTAATGGGACACCTCAAGAAGGGGTGTTTGGATGTTACTCCAACAGCCCCTAATAGTGTCTCGATTGCTAATGAATGGAGAAGATGTAAAGTGACCTTTATCAGTAGACTCCTGTGTGGACTCCTCTGTAACAGCTCATTAGGACACGATCAACAACAACGAAAAAGAGGGAAGTGACCAAGTTAATCTACCTGTTGTCTCATTAGTTTCCTAGTGCTTTGATCGAAGAAATGCCACAGCAGTAATCAAGATTATTGTGACTTCAAACCTGAGCAAGATAATTCCTTGTTTTCTCTAACAGATTTGAAAGGTTTTTTTCATGGGGGAAAAGAAAGCATAATTTGTTGCTAAAAGCTTAGAAAAGAGCAGTGAATGGAACCAAGATGGAGAATGGAAACCTTCCAGAATGCTTTGGGTTGTGCAGACCAGGGGGCACAGGTTCGATTAGAAGTAGCTTTCAGCTGAAATTTCCATCCTCATTTAAGTTTATATAATATTCCTGTTAATATTAAGATCTAATTAGACAGTCATTTAAAATCTGTATGTGGAAGCCAGACAAGATGGGAGTGTTGGTATGTATCCATTACACTAATCTTACGGGCTCTAATGCATATTTCAACAAGACACTATTATTGACTGGAATATTGCACAAATGACAGTGAGAATCACACCATCACTACTTTCAGCAGCTAGAGATGCATAACAGAACTGCAAAGGTAATATTGCCTTTCTGACCAGCCTGCCTGTCATCTAACTTTAATATCAAACTTTATTTTGGGAACACCAGGAAGATAAAGCACACAAAAAGGATTAGCCATCATAGCAATACACCAAAACTGAAACAAATAGAATAATGACATCGGACACAGAGAAACTGATTTCAGATGGAAGGCGCTCTGGGACTCTTATGGTAGCTAATCTGAGCTCAGAGGCTGATCTAAACCCATGAAAACTGATGGTACCCTTTGCTAAAATGCATTTTTCAATTATTTTAGATGCAGATAATGAACATGGAAGAGAGCAACAATTTGAAAAGAAAGAAATTGTACTCATCAGCATGACTAGTATTCTTTTGAGTTGAAACCACTGTGTGGTGGTACTGAAGGCTGTTGTGCTTTGATCTAGGAGACCATTCTCTGCTCCACCAAGGTCTATGCCACTGTGTTTCATTGATTACTTCTGATAGGGAGATACATGGAGTTCCGGATTCTCCAGTTATTTTTTTTGCTGCTTTTTTAATTGAAATCAGGATTTTATACAGCCAGCCCAGCCTGAGCAGTGCTGATGCCTGTGATATGTTAGCGATGCTATTCCTTTCTTGGTGTTCCCTAATGCAAGGATTCAGTAGGATGTAAC